ATGATTTTTAGTGCCTTGGCGCCAGAGGTGGACAAATTGCTCATTTATTGTAACTAAATTACATTACTAATTACTTTTCTAAAAAACGACTGAAGTTTAGTTAAAATATATTAAAATTACCGCTACAGGAAAGTAATGAATTGTAATTCGAAATTTCCGCAATAAAAGTAATGAAACTACTTTTAAATTACTGTTTCATCTATTTTAAAGGAGGAGCTAAGCAAACAAGAAGACCGCACTCTGTTCTGCATTTGCAATGTAACACCCGTTAACCCCACACCAAGTCAGTGGGCAAAACCAAAAACAGATAAGGCGAACCAACATGCCCTCCCGAACTGAACCGACTGATCTTGGGTCTGTCTGTGTTGTGGGTTCACGTTTTTTCCGAAACGCCTCCTGCGCACGCTTTCGATTCCCGGATGTGTCTGGGTTCCGATTGCCTCGCTATTGATTATTCCTGTGGGTTGTGTCTTCTTTGTGTGAATTTGGGGGCAAGATAATCTTCAAGGGGGGACAAAAGCCATGTTATGGGAAGCCTATTCTTGGTCACAGCAACACAAACCTAGCAGGATTTAGGTGGCACGACCTTCTAGTCCGCTTAAGGGGTGTCCAAACAGGACACTACAAAGCCCGCGACTCCGGCAAATCGTGCCGCGCTCTGCCGCGATCCGCTTCCGGCCGTCGGAGGGAAATTTCCCTCCGTCAATTCTTCCCGGGGGGAAACTCCCCTCCGTCAAATCTCCCCCTCGCTTCCTCCACGGCGGCCTTGCTCTGCTTATCACGTGGGTCCGGAGAGCCACTCACACGCTCTGTTGGCTGTCGGTCAATTGCTCAAGGCCTCCGCTCACAATACGGAACCGCATCGGACGCCATCACGACGAAAGTGAATCTCGACAAAGAAAGCAGATCCGAGGCGGGCGAAACGCACCCTTCGACGCAGGAATGTCCCAAATCCACCCAAAGCCGGACCTCCTTGGCCTTCGAGCCGAGGCGACGGTGGTACGCGAGGGCGTTGGCGAGGTGAGACAGACGCAGGTGGCGTGTGACGTCAATCTGAAGAGGAGAGCAGTCGTGATCGTAAAAATTTTCACGACTCCTGCAAACATTTTCACGACTCCGACAGACCGTAAAAATAGAAGCGTCCGCTTCAATTTTCACGATTTGTCGGAGTCGCGGGTTTTGTAGTGTCCTGTTTGGACACCCCTTTAGAGTGCCTTCAAGTAACGCGCACATAAAGGTACCCAGACCGACCGTCATACAAGCCAGCGGCCACAAACGAAACCGCATTTGTTTTTTCTTTTTAGTTATTTTTTAAAAAAGCTTTATGTATATATCTTTTTTGGCAAATGCAATAACTGCGCTTTTTTCCTTGTATGTTTCCGGGCAAATAAAAAAAAACATGCCTTAAATATCCAAAAAAGTAATTACGATTTTAATTACAATTACCGCCACTAGCGGAATTCATTACATTACTAAATTACCTGCATTAAAAAGTAATGAGATACATTACAAATTACTCTCATAAGTAACTTAATTACTGTAATTGAACTGGAGTATTTTCAGTACTGCCACCTCTGCCTGGCGCATTAAGTTGCTTAGCAAACTAGAAGTGTCGGCGTCAACGCTGTGGTAATGTTTCGGGAGAGATGAACCGCAGGGTAACGTAAACCATAAAGCACGAGCATCAACTTGCCCAGTTGGATCAGGTGGGCGGGTTACTGCTGCGATGAGAAATTATCCAATGGTGGGTGCACGCCTCAAATACGCCGTCCACTTTCAAACACCGCTCTCTACAGCAACAAAATTGTATACTAAACCAAAACGCATGGCATGCCCAGCCTTTCGACATCTCATTATTTATAAGTGGTCTAAAATAGGAAACAAAGTATAATAGATCACTGTGAGCGTTTGCGTTGTTCTTAGCGTGTGGTTGCGCTCCGGCTCGCATTCTGGTCAGCGGTAATCACCTGAGCAAAGCTTTCCTTAATCATAATCAAGTTATACATGTGCTACTTTTGTGGTCAGACAATACCAATTAGAAGGTGAGACCAGCGATTTACGTCATTGTAAGTAGACCTCCGAACCACACCAAGCGGCCAAAGCGCTAACGCTTGACGAAATTATGGGACGAAGCGCTAGACGCCTGTATCTTGGAAGCGGAACGCTTCACTATTGCCCTCTATGTGGCTCGCCGTCAGCGCGTGGGCTACGCGACCGCGGCGAAGCGGACACGAGCTGGCCGGCGTTAAGGATTTTTCGTATACTCGGACGTTCATCGCAGCGAATGCAGCTTAGCGCAGAACATGCGCCTGACCGGCGAGCAGCGACTCGATATCTGCGACCAGTCAGTATCTATGTGCCAAGCGCTACGCCACGTTTGCTACGCTCAACGTCGGAGTATAAGAGAGCTTTAGCAGAGCTTTTACAAAGGTCCACTTGCGATGACGTGAAAGCAGGAAAGGCACACGCCTCATCTTCTACATGGTATTGATTGATCGAACTTAAATTAGACTAGTCTATAGACTCTACGCTCCTTTCAGCCTTACCACGTACCTCAACGGAAGTTAAGAACCGTGTTAGCCAATTCAGTGTTCCACATGCGCCACATGACTTCATGCTCTGCACGCTGCTCTTACAAGCCGGAAGGTCAAGTGACACGCTCCGATATTTGGATTGACTCCGGTGCCTCGTATAGTTCATGCGGTAAATCGCAAGGTGAAATACCTTCTTTCTATTTCTTATCAACCAGGCAAAAAATGCCGCGTCACTTGCCTGAGGACGCAGTACGGGCGTTGTCTGATATTACGGAAAAGAGGGAGACTGCGCTTATTTAGAAGGCGTTCCTCAGCTCGGAATGCCAAGATGGCTAATGCGCAGAAGAATCACAATTAAAATGGGCAAAATGGCGGACGAAAGGAGGTCGGTTTCATGCTTCAGCACGGGGAACATTTTGATTTCTTGCGTTTCAGCGTAGAAGCGGTGCTACACATGAAAGGGCTTTTTGGAAGGTAAAAACCTTTTACTAGACATGGCGTAAGAGTGACATGGTGTAAGATGATAAAAATAATTACTGAAAACGACGTTTTTTTGTGTTTTTTTTTTGCCAGCTCGATTTGCGTCTTTGGCTAAGGCTAGACATGTTTATTTTTGTAGGACTTATGTTTGCGAGGTGGACGCCATTGAAAACCTATAAGCGTCTTCAAAGGGCGGCAAGCTATTGTAAAACAACTAAGTATCGCCGTCCTTAAGGTCGTCAAAGTGAGAGAAAGGGTTCGTGTTCGCTTTTTCCTCCCTGCTTAGAATGTAGTCCTTGCGTTCACGTTTGAAGAAATAAAACAATGAATGACTTAAGTTGGTTGATAATAGTATGCAGCCAAGTACAAATTATTTTAGGGTGCAAACTACTTGTGACCACTAGACATTCGTTGCCGGACGGCACCATTATCAACAAGAACTTTCAACAGCTCACTCGAGACATTCTTGAGGATGAGAACATTGTGAAGCTGAACGAAAATGGTGTTAGCAACCCTTCTATAACGTTATCTGAAAAACAGTTGATTTATCAAGCAAGAAAGAGCAAATAACGAATTGTTGTAGCTGCGCAAACGGCGTAGAAGGAGACCAAGTGCAACGAGTCGATAGTCAGCACTTAAATGAGTTGTTCATATTTACCGGTCCGCAGGTTTCGGTGTGAATTATTCTTGTGCGCTCTAAATTTAAGTATAAAGCTATGCTGGCTACGAGAACCAAGCAATGAAAGCATACGACAGACGCAAAACGCCCTTCTCTCAGGGGTTTTCGGCTGGAGTCTCCTGTGGCATTGGTTTAAGGGATACTACAACGAAATTTCGGCGCTCATTTTTTGGTCTATATGTGTTCAAAAGAGCAGTATCACATGGAACATACCAATATCTTGTTAAAAAAGTCTCGAAAAGGAATTTTAAAACGAATTAAACGATTAGCAAAGAGCACCTGGTGGATGTCGCTAGCGCCTCGTTTGTAATGCTCGTCTAGGAACCTTGACAGATAGTGACCGAGGTTGTCTCGTCTTCGGCCACGACGAGAGAAGGGGGGAAGGAGGAACTCCCCTCTTCCCGAGAATCCCTTTTGTGTGTCGCAGAAGTCGCTATTGTCCCCCTAGAAGATTATAGAAGGTTAACCCGTCACTCAAAATTCGTAGAAAAGCAGCCGCTTCGGTGGCTGGAACGACTAGGCCATCCTCTCGACGTCAGCCTCGCCGTAGCTTTGCTCGTCTTCGAGACGACCTACGTCACGATTGCGTTGGATGTCACGTGCTCTAAGCTGGGCCTTCTCCGAGCGCTTGCCAGAGTGGGCCGTTTATAACGAAAAATACAGCCACCAGGATCAAGATAAAAACGTGCGATTGTCATTTACGGATATTGTGGATCATATTCAACCTATTTTTGAACACGACGGGAATATCTCAAATTTCGTTGAAGTATCCCTTTAAAGGGGCGGTGCAACGATTTTACGATTAAAAGAATTTGCATCTCGTCAATTTTACGTTGTTTATCGTGTCCCAGAGGGCAGAGAAAACACCTCCTTAATTAAAAATGTCGCGATTCCGCTGCATAATCGCAAAGCAAAAGTCGAGCTTTTTCCCCCACCTGCAGCCCCAAGTGGCAGCCGAAGGAACTACGGCGAACAGATTACGTGACCTCACTCGGCTCTAAGCTGCAGCCTAACGCCCGCTAATGTCAGCAGAGAGAGGGAGAGGAAGCGTCCTCCGAGATAGCACACGGGAAGCTACACGGCACTCCGAATGACGTCACTGGGAGGGGGACCAGGTGTGACCCTGAAGGCTGGGAGTGAGTTGAGGGGTGCCCGAAATGCCAATCTTTATCTCTTTTTTACGCAACAACTAGGACACGCAGGAGAAATCCGTTTTCTGTTCTTTACTTCAGAAGCGTCAGAGGGCAACTTCCAGAAATCTTTAACCGAAGTCCGGAAATCGTTGCACCCCCCCCCCCCTTTAACACTCAGCCCTCATTTCTCACCGACAGTTTGAGCGTCTTGGCGCGCGCACGAGACAGCAGGGGTCGCGCCTGGGTGCAGCGCCGTAGTGTGGACTCCACGTTGCCGCTGTCCTTGGCCGGTGTGGCGGCAACGGCGTCGGAGGCCGCCCACACGGCCCTGAGCAGGCTGAGGTAGAAGGTGGAGATGAGCAGGCCCGGCACGACCAGGATGTAGAGCGTGAGCCAGCTAAAGTAGAGCTGCCGCTGCCAGTGGTGCGTATAGCCCACGCTCAGACATTCCAGGTGGGGAAGACCGGATGCCGTCACGCCCGTCTGGACCTGCATGGGAACGATGCCGGACGCTCATGCCATGCTCTTGTTTCGGCTTGCTTTGTTTTCGTGCATGCTTTGTAAAATAAGGAAAACACACCATCAGGAGGTGCTCATGGAAGCTCTAAAATCTCTGCAATAGGGCGAAATATCCAATTCCACAAAACGTGCACTTCCATATCCACATAATAATGGCTTGAAAGTTCACAATGTATTAGTTATGAAAAATGGACCTGCCAGCTGATGCCGTTTTTTTGTGCATGTCACTGTGCAAATATTCACCACTACTAGAAGAAAATACAATTATCGTCCATTGGACTGTTTGGTATCCTTGTAAATGTGCAGAGGTCAAACACGTGTATGCACTGCGGTGTGCCTCGGCATTGCTACAACGTTGAGCATAAACAACAATATATGCCTGCTTTTCTACTTCTTCTCCACATCTCAGCACGTTGAAGCATAATTGAAACATGTACAACAAGTGACGGCCTAAAACAAAGGACTGCTCGGTGAGGCTATCTTGATAGTAGGTATCGATTCTCAGGTTGCTCGGTAGTGAATAAAACGCAAATGAGGTGTCTTACTGAGCGTGGACGCCGAGTTGCATATTACAACTTCGGAGCATAATACTGTTTCTCCCAACTGGCGATCGCCTTTTTTGCTTTCCTAGCTCTTTCTGGTCGATGAGGATTGAGTACAAATGACTCACTCAGATGCAGTCTAAACCCACCTGGAGGAAGATGAAGAGCTGTGGAGTGGCAAAGACGGATGCCATGACCCAGGAGGCGGCGACCATGCAGCGGGCGCGCCTAAGGCCCGACCTGGACTCGAGGGGCTTGCAGATGGCCATGTACCGGTCGTAGCTCATCGAGGTCAGGATAAACGTGGTCGAGGCCAGGGTCACGATCTGCAGGTACACGATGACCTTGCAGGCCACACCGCCCAGCACCCAGCTGCCGAAGACCTGCGCGTCCAGGGATATGGGTAAGAATTGCAGGTAGATTAGACATCGTTTCTTCTGTCTCTGTCTTTTTTCCTTTGCGACTTCATTTTTACTTGGTGTCTTTGAATGTAAAATGATTTCAAACTGGACCATTTCCACATAACTAAGAACAACTCTCGACCGCTGAGAGTCAATGCTGACGTGGAACCTTTGCCTCCCAGTTAGAAAATGCTAATGCTTTTACAATGCTTATTGACTTCATTGGCCTTCCGTTTATTTGGAAAAACTTACCTAGAGAAACTACAAGTTACTACAGAAAATACAGATCCACGTTGATTGTCAACCGGCAATCAACCTGGATTTGTATCAACGTGATCTGTACCACCTCCATGCTAGCTGGAACATTAAAGGGCAACTCCGCTCAATTCCGAAAAAAAATAGGCTTACATGCGATTCCATTTCACAAGGCACTACTAAACAGCTCTACGTCCTCGTATTCGCGAAATGTGGAATATTATTTGTGTAACTCCTAATTTAAACATCAGCTGATACCGAAACCGAAACTTCGGTCGCGTCAGGGACCATTGGTCTCGTGTCGTCAGAGTCATGGCCACGTCACGTCGGACCACGTGGTCTTGTGACGTTCGTGGGGGCGAGGAACAGGACACGCGACGCGGGCAGGTCGCTCCGCATGGCGTGGACGGTGAGATGTCCCGGAGGGGGGGGGGGGGGGGGGGGGGGTAGAGGGAGAAGACGAACGAGGAGAGGGGGAACGGAGAAACAGACCGATAAGCGCGCAGGGCAGCCCAAACTAGCGCATCCGCGTTACGGTGATCATGTGGACGCCATTCAGCCAACACCGGAAGGAGAAACTCATGACGTCATCGTTCAATTTCGCTCCGAGAAGTAAAAACTAACAAAACGGGAGAATGACGTAGTCATGCCTCTGACGTAGTGGCTCAACGTTGGCCGCTCCAACTCCCTCGCATTGACTGCGCTGACGATTGCGCCTCACGTCGCACGCTAGAGTTGGCAGATTTCGGCGACTTGGCTCACTTGAAGGTTTGCTGGCCAGTTTATTAAATATTTAGAAGAAATTAGATCGTTATATTTGACATGGGGTCTTCTTATATGATACTGAAGAGGGCTACATAGTTTTCTAAATATCAAAATGAAGCGGAGTTGCCTTTTAAAGCTTTACCTCAAAATAACATCATTAAAAAAATAGGACAGTTGGTTCATTGAGCGTTCAGTACATTGAAGACATTCAGGCTACGAGTGGGTGGGTTTGCTCATCCTTTGCAGCCGCTTCTGCACTCTAAGAAAAAATGGAGGAAAATGTAGCAACGTCGCGTCTTCCTCCCTTCTACTGACGCGCCCCCAAGCGGACACGAGAAATAGGGAGGAACGAGACGTTTTTCTCGTTCTCCAGGCAGACGGGAGAAAGCTTTCGCCCTCCCGACTCATCTTTTTTCGGTTTCGTTTTTCGAGATCGTCGCGCACGTTATTTAATAAATGTTGTTGAGTTGATTGAGCTTCAGCGGCACCGAAGGCCGCCTGTAATTCCGTCTTCTAGTCCAAGCGTGCAGAACATTTCTGTGGCATTGACGTTTTTACCACTAATTTTATCAAACGAGCAAACGAAGCCGCTAGAAACAGCGAAGTTCCGGAGCAGTGCCAGCAGCGCTACATACACTGGGTAAGACGGCCGTCTCCGATTTGCGGGACACACGCGGAACTACAGAAGTGGAACCACGCAGAGCTGTGTCGGCGTTTTCGACGTTATGGAAATTGCAGGAACTGCGTCTAAGACAGGCAGGTTTTGCTGCCAGCTGCCCTCCGTGATGAGTTCGGTTCTGCTATCCGATGCCGAGTGCCAACCAGCAATCAACGTGGATCTGTATTTCTGCGTGTACATAGCAGCAGCATCGTGATGGCAGTGTTGTGCGTTGTGTACAGAAGACTGGAATTATCGCCGATGTGACCCTGTGTTCGCGTATCAGTTGCCTAACAAGATGAGATGACGTAAGTTGTCGGTCATTCATGCCGATGGTCGGGCCGTGATCGGAGGGGGTGGGGTGTCGCAGGGTGACATTCCGCTTTACATTACATGGGGGATTAAGTCAATCGATCGACGTGCGGATAGTCATGTTGGAAAGCTGGTCTGAGCAGTAAGCTCCTATCGAGCAGTGGCTAATGTGACTGTCGGTCCCCGAGAGCGATCGCGCTCCGGGGAAAGGACTGAACAGTACGAAATTATGACGGAAAGTACGTACATTTACAGTGTGGAATTTCAGCATTAAAAAAGAATCGTAGGTAAAATCGAAAAAAAAATCTATTCTTCATTTTGCTGTTTAAATATACCACGGTTCCTGGAGAATTACTGCCTTCCAAGTGGCGCGCTGGGATGAGCGATAGACGTTTTCGAGCTCGCCACGGCGTAACTGCGTACACTTAACACCTGCCGCAAGTCGCGGCTTTGACTGCATTTAGTTTTGATCAAAAAGCGATTTCTCTGCCCGTGAACCATCACTTACAACTGAGTGAATATCCGCTCTACAGAGATTAATTCAAGACGGCATTTGCAGCCGTGTGCGAACAGCACAAACAGAAAAAGCAAACAAAGAAAAACAACACAACAATAGAAATACTGGCTACGAAGTGCCGTGTGGGGAAACAAACTCATGGCTTGGAACCGCATTGGAGCTGCTCGATTTATTGGCTTTCAAATAATTACGGCATCATCGAGCGTTTTCTATTATTAAGAGATTCATTCATCCCCTGAGCCATTAAAAATACTCTAAGAGGTATGACATTACTGGAAAAAAGTCAACATGCTGGGAATATTTTCCATTGCTTAGGCAGTCACCGAGAAATTTCGTACGTTCAGAACGACCAGTATAAAAGACGGAAACACAGAGATCGCGTTAGTGTGCCGTTGTATTTAGGGTGACCACCCGTCCCGCGACTCGCGGGACTGTCCCGCGATGAGGGCTCGTGTCCCGCGTCCCGCAAGAAATTCTAAAATCTTCAAAATGTCCCGCATTTCATACTGTAGTGAAATTCACTCTGCAACTCATGGCGCTGCCGAACAACGGGGCACGGGGAAGCGCGGAGGTCGCTAGTAATCATGTGAATCGCAATGGTTCACCATTTCTATCCAAGCATTGTGGGAAGCAACCGTCGTTTTTGCAGAAGAACCGACGCGCATGCTCCGTTGTGCCTCTCCCCTTGGGGGCAAAATACTGTAATAGCATCTTCGATCATCCGCACCGGTGCACACCGGTGCACTGAGGTGCGCCCCGTCGTCTTCGATCAAGTGCACCGGTGCGCACCGGACGTCCTCGATCAACGGAGTGCACCGGTGCAGCTTTTCGTTGCCCCAACGCGCCCCGAGAAAATTGGCGGTGCGCCAGGGTGCAGTCCCATCAGGTATTGCGGCCAGGAGCGGGAGCAGAGGAGATGGCGGGAATACACCTTTCCAAAAACACTTGACCCCAGGGGCAACAGACCGTTTTCGAGCCCAGTCACTGAGCTTGAGGCTAGGCTCTCACCGGCGTCCCTCCTAACCGAGTGGACCGTGATTTCAATAGGCGCAGCCTGCGCAGGCGCAGTTTCAAACGCTTCTGGCGGCTAAATTCTCGTATTTTCCCGCTATATTTTGTTTTTTATGGTACATGTATGTTCCCGAGGACATTGAAAAAGAATTGTGCCACATTTGAAAAAAAAAAAAAAAACGCTGTAAACTATTTTTGTTGGGTACGCGCGCGACAGAACGAAGGCGACTGGAATGTATTGTTCTAGTTATTTATTTTTCTCGCGATAAGTCTTGACGGCGCTGTGGGATTCGCCGTACGTTAAACGACAAAGCGCTTTGCTGTCAAAAATAAATTGCAACAGAAGAGGGCCGAAAGTCATGCATTTTTCACGCTCACAAATAGCTTGTTTACCGATGGACAGGACATGAAGTGTTAACATCCGAACAATATATCGTACGTACCACACGATGCAGCGTTATCTGAAAATAATTTATTTGAGAAAGATCTCTAATAACAGAGTCACAGTCGCCGACAGTCACATCTTGACGATCGGACGGAATCTGAGATGACTTCGTTTTGGGGCACGTTTTGCGGAGAGCTTCTTTTTTTCACAACAAACAAACGCGACTGACCCGTTTCTCACCCAACCCGGACAACTACTTTTGGAGATGACTGAGGATTCTACGCGGATTATCTCTGGGAGGGGGGGGGGAGAACAATGTTCGCAAAATCGCGTCGAGGGTCGTTTGACGTCCTTTGCCTCCTTCCTTTCCCGTGAATGTCGAGCAGAAAAGCTTGAAAGGCAGGCACTTACTAGCCTTATTTTTCACAATGGAAGATAATACAAAAACCGTACGCAGCATGCATAAAAAAATTAAACGGACACTTTCAAGAGGGGCGAGAAAACGTCGAATTCCAAACCGCAAAAACGTAGGTGGAGAACCGCGCTGGGCGGGTCTTCACAGTCCCAGAGAGTGGCAGAAAATTTCTAGCTGATAGAGGGCGCGAGAGTCGCACCAGCCGCATCAGCATCAGCAACATGGCGGCGGCCTAGGAGCGTTTTTTGGAGCAGCCTATCGAGGTGGCGACCTTCCGAAAACGAACACGCCTCGCATCTGCAGTTGATGAATTCTTCAGCTTTTCTGAGAGCGAGACGACGAGCTTCTTAGCATCGCCGCGGTTGCCGGCGATTGCTGCGGTGGCAAGGAGCGCCCGAAAGGTATGAACTTCGTGGAAAGCGTTGCGAGGTGCGGCCATTATGTGGTGGTTCTCATTCTCGAACCAACTATAATGCTCCGCACTGAACGACTCCGCATTGAAAAGAAAGTGAGGCTATAAATCCCCCTTGCCATTAGTTAAGAAGAGAATACCTAGTCTTCTCTCGCTTTCTGCCACCATTCACTTAATCCTTGCTTGGTAATCTCTACTGTCTTGAAATCCACTTCTCCTTCGCTGTCTCTAAAACCCAATGACTTTATTAAATCTATGTTGTCTTCGGTAGGCCTAGGGTGAAGCCCCTTACAGTAGAGTATCAAGTGCTCAGCCGTCTCGTCCTCCTCTCCACAACCAGCGCGCACAGTATCCATTCCCTGGTACAACGCTCTTTATGTTCTG